GTGCGCGGCCGCGCAGGCGCGCACCTTAGAGGGAACAGTGGTCCTGGACTCTGTTCACTTAATACTTTTTTTTCCAGTTAGATGAATTAGCATTTATAAATGCTCTTTAATTACGTTTTTTGTTGTCATTTTATATATACATCTAATTGTTATGTGTTCTAGCCCACATTTACCTAGCTTGCTGGAGTTCTTTCTGTTGCTGTAACCAAGATGCTTTTCATCTATAGCATTCCCACAATTACTAAGCCACTTATTTGATCCTGTAATCTAAGAAAGTTATTTGATCAAAAAGATATGAGATATTGCTACTGTAACAAGATTTGTTCTTGACAAATCCATTCTAACGTCTAAAAATTGCCATACTGATTAGTATTCTGAAAACAATTGGATTAAGACCCGCTTTAGAAATTTCCAGGTTCTGATGCAAGATTGTTCTTATTTTATAAATCCTTTCTATTATTTTATAACACAGAAAAAAACTGTTGTTGTCCCATTTTAGGCTTCAATCTGGATGGGGTGCGGAATCATCATGAGCTGATGACACCCACTAATTTTAAACTCCACATTTAGGTCAATCAGAATGGAGCTGGAAGGGACATTGTAGTCTTCTAGTCCAACCCTTTGCTCAAGCAGAATGCCGAAAGGACCCATAATGCAATGTGCGTTCACCCACACACCCACGCATGCAGCCCACCCTCCCATCCATTTTTTGCTTCCAGGTTGGTGCAGGAGGCTTTCCAGGCTCAAAATGGGGACCTTGCGTGGCACCCCCATTCCGTTTTGGGCCTGGAAGGCCTCCTGAATCAACCAGGAAGCCAAAACGGGGCTTGGGGGTGCCACGTGAGGCTCCAAAATGCAATGCGAGCACCCCCCCGTGCATGCAGGGCAGAGACCCGAAGACCAGTGGCCAGTGGGAGGCTTGTGCACATGCACGGTGGAGCTGGGCTGGGGCAACAACTGGTGCGCTTGCAGAGAGGGCTCTAGGTCCTCCAAGCCCAGATAATATTTCATGATTCTGGATTGGGTGGGACTCCCTCAGACTGAGTGGGTGCAATCTGGAGGTCTTCCTAAATGTATACCACTCAAATGGCAGTTGTGACTGGGAGAGGGGCTTTACACAGATTTGTCTGGTGCATCTCTTTGCACTCTTTCCTAGATTGGAAGGCTTTGTTCACAGTCACTCATGCCTTGGTCACTTTGTTTGGATTATTGCAATGTGCTCTAGATGCGGATGTCCTTGAAGACCACCTGGAAGCTACAACTAGTCCATAATGCAGCAACACATGGCAGTGATGGGTGCACCTAGGTTTATCCATATAATATCTCTGTTGTACAACTGTCCTGGCCCCCAGTTTCCTTCTGGGCTGGTTATTACCTTTAAAGCCCTACATGGTACAGGGCCAGATCAGAGGTGTGCTTCTGGTCCCTTTGCTGAAACATTACTACCTTGTGAGATCTAAGAAGCGTGTCTTTTATGTGGCAGACCCTGGCCTAAGGAACATCCTTCCCCTGAAGTTTGGCAAGCACCTACTCTCCTAGCTTTCTGAAAACCACTTAAGACCTGGTCCCCCCCCCAAAAAAAAAACCACAACAACATTGGGATAAGGTGCTACGGTTTAGTAGATTTGAAGATGGGACTGCAGGTGAAAGCTTAGTTTAAAGTGTGTGAGTGTTAATAGATATAAGTATGTATAATGTTTTATAGCAATAGCACTTAGATTTATATACTGTTTCATAGTGCTTTACAGCCCTCTCTAAGCGGTTTACAGAGTCAGCATATTGCCCCCAACAATCTGGGTCCTCATTTTACCCACCTTGGAAGGATGGAAGGCTGAGTCAACCTTGAGCTGTTGAGGTTTGAACTGCTGAACTGCAGCTAGCAGTCAGCTGTAGTAGCCTGCAGTACTGCACTCTAACCACTGCGTCATCTTGGCTCTTATCATTTATGTTGTTTTAGTTGTTGACGGGAACTGCCCAGTGTCTGATATAAGATGGATGGCTACATAAATATTTTAATTAATTGATTGATTTTGTCTTTTAATCCTAGTCTTCTCAGCCACATTTTGGAATATATGCTATTTTCAGAGAATACTAAACAAAAATAAGAGCTGCATCTCTTTTAGTTACATATTTTTATTCAGCAGATGATCTGTTTCTTTTTAAATTCTGAACACATCTGAAAATTTTTATAGTTTTTCATCCTCAACTTTTTGACACCATCTCTATCCTTCTGGGTTAGCTATATATTCTTTCGTGATGCCTATCCCTTTTCCCCCTCCTGTTATGTAATGTTCAGATTTTCAGAGTTATGTGCAGCTGCACATGTTTCTTCTGCTATCTTCTGATTTTTTCCTCACTGACACTGTTTTCAGTTGTGCTTTTAATTTAATATTTATTAAAATGTAAATTTATGTATTTATTTTTACAATTCCAATTTCTAAAGCTGTTCCAGCTCAAAATATACTCTGGCCAGCATAGAATTAAAACCAGTACAGTATCTAAAGAAAGTAAGCTGAATAAACCAGTTTCTGCTCTCACACAATTGTTTCCCCTCAAACAAGTCTCCTCTTTCAGTGAGTCAAAACTGCTCTTAGGAGTAAACTTTAACACTCAGCCAATTGGGTAGCTTATTTATGCTAGTAAGAGTATTGCAAATTAACAGTTGAAAAAGATGTGAGGTATGCAGGTACATACCTCTGCTGGTTCTCATATGCATTTTGGTTTTTAAAAAGAAAGTTCAGTAAATCAAATATTCTAGTCTATCCTCCTGTTAAAAAAAATAGATGCACCATGCCAGATTCGGGTGGGCCTGGCAAATAAGAAGCCCAGCAGACCTTCCAGGATCAGACACTTATGGTGAAAAACTGGATGCACTTTCCATATGGCTAGACGCATTCAGCTTTTTTAGACAGTTATGTAGGTCCTAAGGAAAATGAGAGGTCTCTTGAATGGATGAGGGCTGGGAAGCATTTGAGGATGATAATTGTTAGTGTAGTTTGAAAAACAACATCAGAATGAAGGCATGAAATGAGTTATAAGCAACTTCAACCACAAAAAAATACCAGGTGAGCTATTTTGCTGGTAGTTAAAGAGAACAAAAAAAGACATTATTCTAAGGTGGAATTTGCACTATTTCGCCACCTATTTGGATGGTGGGCAAAAAATGGTACATATAATACATGAAATAAGGCAGGTGTCAATAATTTCTTCTTTCACATAGGAGCCAGAAGCTTCTTTGTGCTCCATTTTCCAGGCAGACCCAGATCCTGGGCCCATCTATATGCTTTGTTCGCAGGACAGGACGGAAATAGGATGCATGGAGACTGGGAAGAAGGAAATGAGAATTGGCTTACCTGAAGGGTCGTTTTCTGGGCGCTGCTTGGAGAGTCCAAGCGTGGGACATACCCAAGCTAAATGTCACTAGGGCGGGAAACTGTCGAGTCCAGGATCTCTCCACTGGTATGAATACCCTGAAGGACTCATCTCCCAAATGCCCCCTCCGCAGAAGCAAATTTGTTCAATGTGTAGTTCCAAACACACAAGGAAGTCCAAGTTGCCACCCTGCAAATCTCCTTTATCAGTGCCTGGGTCACCCAGGCCGCTGTGATGGTGGCGCTTCTCGTAGAATGTGCAGTGATATGTCGTGGCACCAGTTTAGACTGGAGATGGTGGGCGAAGGTAATGCATGCCCGCAGCCAACGCCCGATGGTAGGAGAGGAAACTTTGTGGCCTTGGGTTGCAGGTTGAAAAGATACGAATAGTGATTCAGAACGCAGCCGTGCGCTTGATGTACTTACGGAGCATCCTACAAACATCGAGCATGTGCAACCTTTTCTCTTCAGGATGTTTGGGATGTGGACAGAAATTTGGAAGGATGAACTCCTGGGCCAGGTGGAACCAGGAGTTGATCTCGGGTCCAGTCAGAGGATCACCTGTCCAGTTGCAAATAGTCCAATATTTGTGGAACTGTAGCGAAGGTCACCTTCACGCTATGAGCTGTGCACCAGTTGTCGAAAGACCTCCAGGTGGTGTCGTATATCCTGGTCGTGGAAGGCTGTCTGGACGCCTGAATGGTGTGAATGACCTTGATGGAGAGTCTGCCCCTACTCAGGAGTGCACTACTCTCAAGGGCCAGATGGCTAGTTGTAGCCACTGGGGCTCTGGATGTTGAAGCGCCCCCTAGCTGAGAGAGACCTCATGTTGGGGAATCTGCCAAGGTGGGTTGATGGAGAGACTCACCAGGTCGGCGAACCAAGTTCTTCTGGGCCAGAAAGGTGCCACAAGCAGGACCTCCGCTCCCTCCAACAGGATCTTCCGAATCATCCTGGGGAGAAGAGGCAATGGTGGAAACTC